TGAGCCCCGCGTCGGGCTCTGTGCTGACCGCTCAGAGCCTGGAACCTGCTTCAGATTCTGTGTCTCCCTCTCTCTCTGCCCCTCCCCCACTCGTGTGCATGCTCTCTCTCTCTCTCTCTCTCTCTCTCTCAAGAATAAATAAAAACATTTTTAAAAATTAAAAAAAAAGCTCTTATTAAACAGGATTCTAAGGAACTCTGCCAAGAGTCTTAACATTATCATTACTGTGAATTAATTCATGGAACAAGGGACCGCATCGTGATTGGTCCTACATGAGACGTGCATTTCTTCCCAATTCTGTCTCTCCGTAGATATCAACAGAAATTGGGGAACGTCACCCTCTAATGGAAATAAAACAACATCAATATCAGAGCAAGAGCGACTTGGCAGAAAGCTTGGAAACATTTAAAAATTAGAAAGCGCTCATCTAATTGTTTTACCTAATTTCAAATGTGACTTTTCTAGTTGCTTCTAGGTTTTAGTCCAACGTCTTACTGCCCTTTAATACTCCCCTGTGAGAAATATGCACAGATTCCTTATGGTAGATTTGATGCCTTAATGGTTCCAATTAATGGCCTCCTTTTATCCAGGCCCTTTCTCTTCAATTTTGTAGTCCCCTCCCACCTTGGGCTCACCTGTACGATTTACTTTGGCCAGTAGAGCATCAGTAGACTTAATGTAAGCGAAGCCTTGAAAATTGTTCGTGCAACGAGATAGCTCTACGTACCTATTCGAATTTCTGACGGAAGAACGCTGGTGGTCCCAAACACTAGCGAGGATGTAGAGCAACAGGAACTCTGAGGCATTACTAGTGGGGACGCAGAGCAGTACAGCCACTTTCAAAGACAGTTGACAGTGTCTTGCAAAATGAAGCACACTCTTTCTGTATGATCCAGCCGTCCTGTTCTTTCGTCCTTACCCAAAGGAGCTGAAAACTTAGTTCCATATAAAAACCTACATGACAGTGTGGAGGCTCCTCAAAACATCAAAGATAGAACGACCCTATGACCCAGCAATAGCACTACTAGGAATTTATCCAAAGGACACAAGGGCACGTGTACTCCAATGTTTATAGCAGCACTTTCAACAACAGCCAAGTCATGGAAAGAGCCTAAATGTCCACTAACTGATGAATGGATAAAGAAGATGTGGGTTATATACACAATGGAATACTACTTGGCAATGAGAAAGAATGAAACCCTGCCATTTGCAGTAATGTGGGTGGAACTGGAGGGTATTTTGCCGAGCGAGAGAGGTCAGTCAGAGAAAGACAGATACCATGTTTTCACTCATATGTGGAACTTGAGAAACTTAACAGAAGACCGTGGGGGGAGGGAAGGGGGCAAAATCGTCACAAACAGAAAGGGGGGCAAACCACGAGACACTCTTGAATACAGAGAACAAACTGAGGGTTGACTGGGGGAAAGGGGAAAGTGGGTGATGGGCACTGAGGAGGGCACTTGTTGGGATGAGCACTGGGTGTTGTATGTAAGCAGCGAATTACAGGAATCTACCCCCAAAACCAAGAACACACTGTATGCTCTATAAGTTAGCCAACATGACAATAAATTACATTTAAAAAAAATAGCATCCTGAAAAAAAACAAAAACAAACACCTACACACAGAGTTTTTAGCAGCTTTATTCATAATTTGGACAAAATTTGGAAGTAACCAAGAGGTTCATTCGTAGATGAACAGATAAACGAACTGGCACATCCAGACAATGGAATGTTGTTTAAGGCTAAAAAGAAATGAGCTATCAAGCTAGGAGAAGAACAAGGGGAAATCTAAATACATATTGCTAAGTGAAAGAAGCCAATCTGAAAAGGCTACACATTGTTTGATTCCGGTCATATAGTCTGGAAAAGGCAAAACTATGGAGATAGGAAAAAGATCGGTGGTTTCCAGGAGTTGGAGGTGAGGAGGTTTGAAGAGTAGAGCAAGGAGGATTCCTAGGGCAGTGAAACTACTCTGTTTCGATACCACAGTGGTGGATACTTGTCATTATACATTTGTCCGAACCGTAAACTGTACAGCACACATTCCTAACTGTGACCTTTGGCTGATAATGATGTGTCAACGTAGGTTCACCAACCATAGCAAAGGTACCACTCTTGGTGGGGGGGTGTTAATACAGGGGGGCGGCTCAGCATGTGGGGGACAGGCAGGGAAGATACGGGAAATCTCTGCACCTTCCCCTCAGTTGTTTTGTGAATCTAAAACTGTTCTTGAAAAGTTTGTTATTTAAAACAATTTTTTTAATGTTTATTTTTGAGAGAGACAGAGTACGAGCGAGGGAGGGGCAAGAGACACAGGGAGACATGGAATCCCAAGCAGGCTCCAGACTCTGAGCCATCAGCACAGAGCCCCACGCCGGGCTCCAACCCACAAACCGTGAGATCGTGACCTGAGCCGAAGTCTGACGCTCAACCAACGGAGCCACCCAGGCGCCCCCTGAAAAGTTTATTTGTTAAAAAGTTTGTGCATTTTTGCTCTTGTTCTTGGCACTCTGCCACCGCCGCAGGACAACTCCATTAAAGGATAAAAGACCCTGTGCTACAGAGATGAGTCATCACGGCTGAGGCCACCCTTGACTGGCGAGGAGTGGCCTCCACAGGCTGCAGAGGCCCAGGCAGGTCCAGATGAGGTTGGCCAGGCTCGGTCTAGATCTGCAGAACCACCCCTCCGCCCCCGACTCCCAGGTCCGTGAAAAATAATGCATGGTGCCTCTTTTAAGCGGTCGCTTCAGTCCTCCATCACTGCATGACAAGCCACCCCAAAACCAAAACCCAAAAGCAACCTCCATTTACTATTTCTCATGATTCTGAGTCAGCTGGGCACAGGCTAGTGTCACTCACTTGGCTGCAACCAGCCAGCTGCTGGAAGGTCTGAGAAGGCTTCACTCACACATCTGTGCCCCCTGTCTCTTTCCATGTGGCTTCCAAAGCATGTGGTCTTTTCAGCAAGGGGGTCAGACTCCTTACACGGCAGCTGGCGTCCAGGAGGGAGGAACTGGAACTTTGGTACTGAGCGTGGAAGTTGTAGAATGCTACTTCTGCTTCATTCTATTGGTTACAGCAGTCACAGGAGCAACCGGGTTCAAGGGGAGGGGAAATACACCCTACATTTTGCGGGGCAGCGTGCACGTACAGGGATAAAGCGGCCTGGTCGCAGCCATTTTGGTGAGACTATCCTGCCCGCTATGTTTTAGGGTGATTGTGGTACCACATTGGATACATTCTTCTAAGCTATGGGGGATTGGGGGCTAGTTACAATTCCGTTCTGGACCTTTCTATGAAATGAGGAAGTGTGGGTTCTTCTAGGTTGCTCAACGCGTATTTGACTTTTTCATTAGTGATATCTAAGGGAGATCCAGAAAGGATGGCCAGAGGGAATCTGCGAAGCATTGATCGGCCGTAGGTAGATCTAGCAACTTGGTCTGCCATTAATTCTCCAACTAGAAAGAAACCACTCAAGCATCCACATGGAAGGCATGCCTAGCCTCCAGGGGCATCAAACGGTAGGAGAGTAGAGACTACAGCCTTCACAGCTTCTGAAGGGTCATCTTAACATCACAATGCCTTCTCTTTCTAGAAACTTCCTTTCTAAGCAGACAAACCAAATGCTTCGCCGACTCCCCTGCACAATGTGAGATGCTCATTTCAGAGGACCGGTTCCCCCCTGGGGACCCTCTGATCTCTGACTTTGAGTTTACTTTTCAGGTTAGCAAAGGCTTGGGCACCTCAGCCCCAAGTCCCTTTCTTTCTCTCCTGGACCATCTTCCCTTTCCCGGAGGTTGGGCTCTCTTTTCCTGTTGCTTCGTTGCTTCCTCATTCCCATCCGCCTTCTGTCCCTCCTTCCTCTCAGGCTTGAGAAGAACACCGAGCGAGGAGCCCCAGTGGCTGTTTTCTCCTCACAACTCTGTCCCCATACCAGTGAAGTCTGCATCCTCTCTTGGGTTGAGATTCCTGGTCTGTATCCCGAGAGTGTGAGACAGGAGGCTCGGAAAGGTCACTTGGAAACCTAACGGTCTCCGGTCATTAGACCCCTTCTGTAGCACATTCGGTGCCAAGGCTTGAGCTGGGTGAAGAGTCAAGGACGCGGAACCCTTTGCAGGAAGTACACGTGTACCTCGGCCAACTCCCACTACCTCACTACTTTTTTCCTAACTTTTTTTTTTTTTAGGTAGAAAACATGCCCCCGTAGCAGCTGCACGCCCTATTTCACTTATTAAATGATACGCGTTGAGATGGGCATCGCGCAAAAAACATATGTACATGAATAACTCCCCAAAGAAAACGGCTGCCGATTAAAGGTTCATGCTGGGGGTGGGGGGGGGAAACCCTAAGATGAAGAAAACATTTGATGTTCCGTTGCCTTCGCGTCTAAAAACAGGCACAGGCCGTGAAAACCTCCAGCCGAATTTCCACCGGCCCGTACGATCTGTTTTCTGTGTTCACTTACTCCTTGTCTCCGTGGCGTCTTTTTCCTGTTACCACCAGACTCACGTGGGTAGCTTTTCTAGGTGAGTTTTCACTTTGCCCAGAAGTTACAAAAAAAAAAAAAAAAACCACAAAAAACAAACCAGCATAGACTTAATGGGGTTTGGTTGGAAGAGTGAACAAGAAAAACGAGACAGTGTCAGAACGGAGGGGAGAATGAAGGAAAAGAACAGAGAGGGGACGGCAGCACAGAAAACCCTGCAGCAGTTAGAAAGTAAAGGCACACAAAATGTATACACACATTTGGTACATCAGGTCTGAGTGTGGCTTCTCAGGAAGCCGAAGGTCAAGGTCTGCATAAGAGAGTAAGAAACATTCTTTGGGTTGGAGAGGCTTAATAAGAGAGGTTTAAAAGCTTGAAGGTGGGGGGGGGGGCACCAGCGTGGTTCAGTCCGTTAAGCACCTGCCTTTGACTCAGGTCAGGATCTCGGGCTTGTGAGTTCGAGCCCCTCATCAGGCCGTCTGCTCTCAGCACAGAGCCCACTTCCGATCCTCTGTCCCCCTCTGTCTCTGCTCCTCTCCCACTTGCACTCTCTCTCTCTGTCTCTCTCAAAATAAATGAATAAACTTTAAAAAAAAGGGGGGGGGAGCTTGAAGTAGGGAAAAGAGGCTGAAATACATCAGTCGTGTCACTCAAAACTCCTCAAACTGCATCGCGACTCTTACGCCCCGAGAAACAGTGTGTTGTAAAACTCGCAAAATCCAACTGTGGAACCAGGAGTGAAACCCAGGCTGCCATCTTATCCCCAGAGCAGAGCCGGGCCCTGGGTTCTTCGTGACTAAGCAAAAGTTCATTCAAGCCAAAGCCTTCTTTGTTCTAACCCGGGAAATACTGTTTGTTTTTGACCTCCTTGCAACACTGAAAACAGTTCTCATCAATAGCGAACCTATATGATGGGTCACCACGAAAGGGTGACAGGTCTAGAAAGAGTACCAAGAAATAATGGAGTCTCCCGGGAAGGGAAGGGAATGGATACAAGAGACACATAAGCTCCCTGAATACAGGCAGTAGCCGTCCACCCGAGACATCACGTCGGCGTAGCTGACACATTCCTGCAGTTCACTTGTCATGCACCATCTGAGGTCCCCCCTGCATGGAGGGGCAGCGTCCGGGGCCAACTCTTGAATTTCTCAGACTTGCTTTCTGAGGCGAGATGGGGGGCATGATGCTAACCACACAATAAATACTTGTGGAAGAGAAGGGGGTGTTCACTTTCGTCACCCGGCAAAAGCCCACATTAAGACGTCTCAAGGTCTCTGTGACACCTCACGGTGTGAACGCACCAGGAGGACAACCTTCATTTTTCCTTTTATTTCTCAAAAAATGCAGGGGCTTCCCTGACTTGGAAGCATTTCGGCAGAACCTCACCGGCTAGCCTCGTCTCTTGGTGACGTGTGAATGCTTGGCTAGCAAAATGGAACGCTTACCCTGACATCTCTTTAAGCACACGGTCCACAAGCTGTCCCGGCAACCTAGAACGTTTTGCTGGGATGAGGGATAGAAAAAGGAAATCTATTAAGCAGGCTATGCCAACTGCTTTAAGATACAACCAATGTGGATTAATGCAGTAAAGGTTCGTTGCTCGTTCATGTCTCTGTTCAACACAGTTTGGTGGCAGAATTGGCTTCACGCGGTCATTCGGGGACCCTGGGTCTTTCCATCTTGTGGCACCATAATGGTCAACCGTCGATTCCCAAATGCCCGCTGAATTAGACAAGAGGGCAAAGGATTTAAGATGTCAGGGATAAACATCGCATCTGCCCACGTTCCGCTGGTCAGACTTGGGCCTTCATAACACCCACCAGCAAGACGCCCGGAAAAATCTGTTTCAGCCCTGTGCCTGGGAAGGAGAGAACACTATAGTCTCTCCCCGATGTGCCGAATAAAGACAAATCATTTCACGTTAAACTTATTCTCGCACAGCTCTGCTTGCGAGCTGAGGGGAGGGTCTTCAGCCGTCAGATTTCTTCTATTCTTGTTTCTTAGTGTTTTCCCTGAGTGTCTAGGTTGGAAGCAGCCTAGGATGTGGGGGGTTGGGGGACGGCAACCCTGTCTTGGAAATGTTTGTGGACACGCACGGGAACGTAAAGAGTCCACAGCTTTTATTGTTACCGAGAATCGAGCACTTGAAGCAAGTGTCAAGGTGTCTTCTAGCCAAGAGTGCTGTCGATTCCGTTATTGTGGGAGAAAATGGAATCTGTGCCATCAGCTTTTGAAGCCACTGCCACTGGAATCTCTGGAGCCTTTGGGAGGGGGGAAAAGAAAGACAAAAAGAAGCACAGCTCTGTCTGCAGTCAGCCTGTCCGGACGGCCCAGGTGACTTCATGAGAAAGAGGATGGGGCAAGCACGAGGAATGTGGTTTTTTTTCCTCGCACAAATAATCCTTGAGGAAAAAATATGGGAGTTTAGAGTGTGGTGGGGATTTACAAACACTTTAAGTCAAAAAGCACAGCCACGCCATGGAGATGGGAGTTAGAAAATTTTGGACAGCCGCCCAGCTCGCTCGGACTGTGTAAGGCTCCTCTCTGTCCTTCCCTGCGTGAAGCAGGGGGAGGGTCCGACTGAAGCAAAGGACGGGCTACATGCTCCCCAAGCTCTACCGCGCTTGCGGTTGCCAAGGGTTGGGGGACAGAGCGTGTCCGTGTGCGCCTTCGTTTTTTGCCCTTCATTTTAAAGTCAGGACCGTGGGAAAGACGCCCTTTTTCAGGACCATTCTGCACACCAAGAGATATAACATGACTTTTTTTTTTTTTCTAGAGACTTTCAGAAGACACAGTTCAAGAGGTTTACTTAATATGCAAGGGCTCGTTTATGATACGATTAGAACAAAAGGCATCACGTGAACTTGCGTGTATTCTGCAGCCTCATACAAGTACAGAAAGTCTAGAAAAATGTCCTGGAGGGACATCTGCTGAAGTGTTAGCTACTGTTACCTTCAGGTTAATATTGTCTCTACTTAAAAAAAAACAAACAAACAAAAACAATCTTGTGCTACTTTTTCACATCAGAAAAGACAAAGAATTGGGGAAAATATCTAATATCTGACAATGACAAAAGCTTACGTGTGTTGTAAAAATTGACAAAAGCAAAAAAGAAATGACTCCATTTTCTTTCCCCAGAGACGACCATCCCCAGCATTTAGTATTTGCTCACTATGCTTTACAACATTTTATACTCTATTTTTAGCTGAAAATAACATATGCACAGGGCAGAGGATGGGAATAGACACTTTGTTTTCAAAGAAGGTATACAAATGGCTAATAAGCATGTGAGCAAATACTCAGTGCTATTAGCCACTAGGAAAATGTCAATCAAACCCACCATGAGCATCGCTTCACACCTATTGGATGGCTAGAATCAGAAAACATAATAACAGGTGTTAATAAGGATAGGAAGAAACCAGAGCCCATATACCCTGCTGGTGGGAATATAAAAAGGTACAACCACTTTGGAAAAGAGTCTGACTTCCTCTGGGGCGCCTGGGTGGCTCGGTCGGTTGGGCATCCGACTTCAGCTCAGGTCATGATCTCACGGCCCGTGAGTTCGAGCCCCGCGTCGGGCTCTGTGCTGACAGCTCAGAGCCTGGAGCCTGTTTCAGATTCTGTGTCTCCCTCTCTCTGTGCCCCTCTCCTGTTCATGCTCTGTCTCTCTCTGTCTCAAAAATAAATGTTAAAAAAAATTAAAAAAAAAAAGAGTCTGACAGTTCCTCAAAACGTTAAACACAGAGTTACCCTATGACCCAGCAATTTCACTGTCAGGTGCACACCTAAGAGAAATGAAAACACATGTCCCCATGAGAGTTTACATGGCGTTATTCACAAGAGTCAAAAGGTGAAAACACCCCAAATCTCCATCAACTGAAGAATGGATGAACAAAATGGAATACATCCACATAACGGAATATTATTCAACAGTGAAAAGGAATGAGGCACCGATACGTGCTACTGCATGGATGAACCTTGAACACATTATGCTAACTGAAAACAGCCAGTTACAAAAGGCCCCATTGTTTGATGGCATTTCTAGGAAATGTTCAGAATGGGCAGATCTACACAGACAGAAAGTGGGTTAGTGGTTGCCTGGGGCTGGGGAGCGGTGGACTTGGTGGGGAAATGGGGAATGAATGCTAATGGATGCTAGATTTACGGAGAGAAGGATGAAAATGTTCTAAAATTGATGGCAATGACGGATGTAGAACTCTGTGATTATAATGAAAACCATCAAATTATACATTTGAAATGGGTGAATTGAATGGCATACAAATTCACCTCAATAAAGCAGGCTTGTTTGTTTGCTTGCTTGTTTTTTTTTTTTTTTAATTTTTTTCAACGTTTTATTTATTTTTGGGACAGAGAGAGACAGAGCATGAACGGGGGAGGGGCAGAGAGAGAAGGAGACACAGAATCGGAAACAGGCTCCAGGCTCTGAGCCATCAGCCCAGAGCCCGACGCGGGGCTCGAACCCACGGACGGCGAGATCGTGACCTGGCTGAAGTCGGACGCTTAACCGACTGCGCCACCCAGGCGCCCCTGCTTGCTTGTTTTTAAAAGGAAAAAGTAACATGCCCTTAAAAAAACTAAAGCACTTTCAAAGGGGGCCGTGCAGAGCAAAGGAAACAATCAACAAAATGAAAAGGCACCGATGGAATGGGAAGAGATGTTTGCAAATGATATACCAGATAAAGGGTTAGTATCCAAAATCTGTAAAGAATTTGCCAAACGCAACACCCGAGAAACAAATAATCCACTGAAGAAATGGGCAGAAGACACGAGTAGACACTTTTCCAAAGATATCCAGATGGCCAACAGACACACGAAACAATGCTCGACGTCACTCATCAGCAGGGAGATACAAATCAAAGCCACAGTGAGATACCACCTCACACGGGTCAGAGTGGCTAAAATGAAACTACAGATGCTGGTGAGGATGTGGAGAAGCGCGAACCCTCTTGCGCTGGGAGCGCAAACTGGCGCAGCCTCTCTGGAAAACAGCATGGAGGCTCCTCAAAACATTAAAGATAGAACGACCCTATGACCGAGCAATAGCACTACTAGGAATTTATCCAAAGGACGCAAGGGCACATGTACCCCAATGTTTATAGCAGCGCTATCAACAACAGCCAAATTATGGAAAGAGCCTAAACGTCCATCAACTGATGAATGGATAAAGAAGATGTGGGTTATATACACGATGGAATACTACTTGGCAATGAGAAAGAATGAAATCCTGCCATTTGCAGCAACGTGGATGGAACTGGAGGGTATTATGCTAAGTGAAATAAGTCAGGCAGAGAAAGACAGATACCATATGTTTTCACCCATATGTGGATCCTGAGAAACATAACAGAGAACCATGGGGGAGGGGAGGGGGGGCAAAAAAAGTTACAGAGACGGAGGGAGGCAAACCATAGGAGACTCTTAAATACTGAGAACAAACTGAGGGTTGATAGGGGGTAGGGGAGAGGGGAAAGTGGGTGATGGGCATTGAGGAGGGCACCTGTTGGGATGAGCACTGGATGTACGGAAGCGATGAACCACGGGAATCGACCCCAAAAACCAAGAGCACACTTTACATGCTGTATGTTAGCCAATTTGACAAAAAAATATATTAAGAAAATAATAAAATTTTTTAAAAAAAGAAAACTCAAGCCCAATGCTGGCGAGGATGTGGAAAAACTGGAATTTACACGAGGATCTGCCTTTTATTCCCAAGGACCAGCTCGCGGCAGGCACTTATTATAGTGAATTGCTTTTGTGTGTATGAATTGGCAAAACTCTTTGGGGGAAAAATGTGGCAATGGGTTCCAAACACCTTGAAAATAAAAATGTTTAGGAAAAAAAAAGGTGGCCAGTGCACCTGAGGGACTAAATTTTAAATTTTTATTGAATTGTAATTAAGTAGCCACACGTGACCCCGGATTGGACTGCACAGCTCTGAACAATGCCCATTACAACATTTAACACACCGTATATCTTGCATAAGAATGAGCTCCAACAGGAAATTCACTTTGTGACCATCATCACTGTCTCCACAGCACCTAGCATGGGGCTCGGTACACAGCAGGCTCTCCACATAATAGCCCTCATCATCTTCAGCATGGTCTGGTCCACCTTTGTATCCCACAGCTTAGCCCAGCACGCACTACGGATACTCAGTAACTGTTGCTAATTGAGTTAATCGATTTCTAGGCTTACAAAACCCGCCAGTAATCTGTTCGCAGAGAATGCTCGACCATGGGGACTTGCCTTGGTGTTTTTCTGATATACTTCTTTGTGCTCAGTATGCAGGCTAAAAGCATCTGCTTGCATTCAAACGCTGGCTTTATGACCTCTGGAATGGAACGTTTCTGTGCCTCAGTTTATTCCTCCGTAAAGCGGGCCCATTGATGGCCCTGTCTCAGTTGTTGTCAGGATTACGTGTGTTGGGGTTTACAACTTTATAGGAAATATAGAGAATGGAGGGCTGGGTTAAATTACATCATGAGGATTCAATCAGAAAAACCCAGATGGTAGCCAAGTCTAGTTGGAAAACAGAGGCAGCCATCCTGTGGTCATTAGAGAGAAAATTTAAGGACCAAGACGATACTCTGAGATTGGCAATCTCGCTACAAGGGAGGCTTGAAAAAAAAAAAATCTGGCATCATTACTGTAGATAGTAAGGTGCAGGAGCGGCTTCTTTCTAACAACCAATAATGCAGGTGCTC